TTTGGTTGGCAACTTATCAACAGTCTCTCAGTGCCAGGTACAGCCAAGTTGTTCCAGCGAAGTCAGGCTTCCCCGGTCAACGATGTCAGAGGGAGTACCAGGAAAGTTCCCTGGTCAGGATCTGATTCTCACTCACACCAGGAGTCTGGAGTCCAGGCTTGGAACAGCAATGACCGTTCTGTTCCGTTCTTCCTACTGGTCACCTGACGTGCATGTTTTTTTTTTTTTTATACCTTATCTTATGCTAATCTGTTGGTTTTAGAGCCACTTGCAATCTTACTCTACAGTTGTTACTCTATGGGATTGAAAGGTGTTAAAAATCATCATAAGAGGTTACTGCCTAAACTTGAGCTTATTCAATAAGCAAATCACACCACATCACTTTGAGGCTTAAGATTAGCATTTACTCCACCTAAGTCCAACTCACCTGGTTACTTCCTCTTTGGAATTTTTTGGAGTGTGTTAATTATACCTTGTGGTCAGGTTTGTCATTTTGACTGACCTTTAAAGCAAGAACCATTAGGTCAGCTAAAGTTTGCAGTTCTGTTTTCTAGTTCCGCTTCTTGGGGCCCATGTTAGTCTTATGATTGGTACAGACAGTTAATTTTAACATTGTGGTTATACTTCTGACAGACAGGGTACATTTTGTGGGTTATAATCTTGCAAGCATTTCCTTGGCTAATATTAACCATTATACTATTGTACAGATGCCTCCAAGAAGCAGATATTATTTGCAATAATTTGTTCATTAACCCCTCTGGTTCTGGCTATCACAATTTATGCTTCCAGTTATTAGCAATATTAATACATCTCATTCATAAACATGGAGCCCCATTACATGCAGAACTACACCAGACACTTCCATGTTTTGTTTGATTGTTCCCATGACTGTTCCCAAGGTCCCATGACGGGACCTTGAAAGTGTCCTGGACTTTTACCAGATAGCAAAGCATGGCCCAATTAAGATAATAGACCAAATTCTGATCAGGGGACATGTAAATGCACAGCCAGTAAAAGTGTCTTGAACCGAGTTACATTCGGTTTCAGTTTGGCCCAATGTCTCAAAAATATTACTAATGCTCATGAATACAGAAACCCAAAGAGATTCATGGTACAAAGTCATTGCAAGACTAGGCAACAATAGAAATCCCCCTTAGGACAAAGCCTCAAGTCTGTTGAAGATAATGGAAGTCTTGCCACTGATGTTAAGCAGGGCCATGATTTCCTCTGACCTATGCCCAGTGCTTTCACAATATCAGAGGTGTCCTGGCTTGGTGGATCTAGGATAGACTACAAAACAGAAGTAGACAAAGTTCCACAAAACTCCACCTTGGCTTAAATGCCAATCCTATTAAAAGAACCTCGTGAGTAATGGAAAGTTCTTGAAAGCTTCTAGGGTTTCTTAGGGGTTTTATGAATGGGGACATCCAATGAATCACACAAGTGATTGCCACTGCAGGGAAAAACCTCAAAGCCCTGCAGTTTCAGATGTTCAGCAAGCCATTTCATATTGGGGGCAGGGAGGGGAGTCCTCCCTCTAAATAAAGGATATCTATTGCCTCTGCAGCTACTACCCTTATAGGCTGGTGGAAGAAGCCTCAATTCATGAAGGTCTTGCATGATACAAGCAGGCAACTTTATACATGAGACTCGCAGTAGAAGTATCAAGAACTGACAATGGCTCGCCCATCCTCCTGGTCTGAATGTGCAAAACCCTTCAGAGGCAGGGAACATACTTCTTTCTCCTCCACAGAGATTGCAGGAGTTAGCAGGAGTTCTTTCCCATGACTGTCGGGCACCTTTTTCATTCGCACATGAAGTCCCTAGTGCCAGAGTTGCCATGGAATCATATTACTTTAAAAAATTGGCAGAAAGCTATTGAAACCAAATGCTGATATATCAATTGCATATATAAATCAATTTGTGCAATACAGTGGCAAAAGTGCCAACTAAAGCAGTGTGTGTAAAAATGTTATTCACTTAATTATCTCATCTCCATTAATCTGGAGGATTGAATAGCAATAGCACTTTGGGGTCCTGACCATGCATTAGGCCCCCATGGCAGTAGATCCCACACAAACATGAAAGGACTATCTGGTGCCCACATCAACTTACAACATTTAAGAGATCATCAGAAAACTCTTCTCCTTCATACTTTAGTGTCTTTGTTGTGGAGATGTTGCACACCAACCTAACCATGTAAGGAACATCGTCTCGCTCCTAAATGCTATCCTACACATCCCAGATATCTGGCCCATGACAATAATTCACACAGCTAAAAATTAAGGCTCTAAAAGACCCCTGTCAAGTGTACGGGACTCTTGTCTATGACTTCAGTGCAATGGTCTGTTGTTTTGGTTTTTTTAAATTGCATATGGAATCATTTTCAACAATAAAAGCAAAGGGATCTGAAACAGGTGGCAGACACAGGATGCTTTAAAGGAGGGACATTTAAATAGGTCACCTATTAGTGTTAATATTCCTGGAGAATATTAGCCAGATACCACAGTACATACTCCCACTCTTCTCTGGTCTGGACCACAGACGAACAGAGACACCCAAAGACAAAGAACAGCAATTAAAGAGTTAATTTGCATGGTATTGCAAGTGCCTAGTTGCTGCCCAGATAGAGATTACTTTATGCAAGACTCAAAATATAAAATTCCCACACAGAGGTCAGTCACTGGTTATAACACCAATAGTAATCCAACTCCATACTTCTCTACGAAATATGAACTTTCTACCCAAGAGAATTTTACAATCTTTTCTCCAATGCCTGATAAAGGGTGTTTGTGCCCCAAAGCTTGCAATTAAAGAACATTTTTTTGCACAAATCTTGGTGGTCTAATAAAAGATATCATCTCTACTACAAGTCCTGATCGCCTTTTCCTCTAGACCAGTACAGCTACAACCTGTATATCATACTTCTCTGGCATTCTCCCTCATAAAGGAAACCTGCAGCCTCTTTACAAAAGGAGAGGCAGATCTTGTTGCATGAGTGATGGCAAGGTGAAGTGAATCCCAAGAGATCACCCAGCAAATGAGCGCTAGAGCCAGGAGCAAATTGTCCCTGCCTCTTTGCTCTCACCATGAGAGCACATATTTTTTATGGAGTTCTCTGGAGACTGTAAGTCAACACCATCCCCCCCCCAAATTCTCCTCCAGCTTATGAGCAGTAGCAGGTTGAAGAGTCAAGGGACAAAAACCCAACTCCATCTCAGAGTTGCACTGGTTTGGCATGGACAGACCTACCGCTCCCAGATCACTGTGGGTCCACAGCACAGCATTTCACAACAGATCAGGGTGAGGGGGAAAGAAAAGACTGATGTTATGGGCAGCACCTGAACTGGAACACACCTGGTCCTAGCAGAACGAGATGGTGGGCAACTTGCAAACCCAACCCAATTCATCTCTTAGATGAAGGTTCACACCACAGCCTTCACTGCCTAATGCGGCTGAAGGCATGTCCTCACTTCTCTGCAGAGGACAAGACCTTAGTCAGGGTCTCCAAACTATAGTTGTTCACCTGCTTATTTTCCAACGGAAAAAAAGGGCACGATGTAGGCTTGTAGCTGGAAACTGATGCTGGAAAAACCGAGACTGGAAATTAGGAGCCAAGCTTTAACAGAAAGAGTAATTAACCATTGCAACTGCTTACCAAGGGATGGGGGCTATTTTGAGCTAGGCTGAAAAGGTGCCAATGGTTGAACCATCTCTCTCTGGTTCTCAAAAGTTACAGGCTGAAAGCAGGAGACACTGCAGAAAGGTCTCTGCGGGTGACCATAGTATCCCATCTGGCTGTAAAAATCAGAAGAGCTCCAACTGGAAAATGGGCTTTTAACTCCAATTTGCATGGGAAGCCTTCAGCAATAAACAGAGTATCTGGGCTCTGAGCTGGCCTTGCAGCACTTCATGGGAGCTGTAGCTGGGATGCCTCCTGCTCCCATTGCCTGGATGTTGGGCTTCCTGGAGAGACTTCCTTTCCCATGATACATAATCCTCCCTTCTAGTAAAGGGAAGCGATACATCATTACAAGGCATTATGGGACATGAAGTTTTTGGTAGGGAACCTAGCACATTGGGCTTCTGATGCTCCCATTGTCCTCAAACTACAGTTTCCATGAGGCACCCATGAGGCATTTCAAAGTTCAGACATGTCTGTTTGAACGCATTCATCTTTGGAGAATGGATTATTTTTTCCCCCAGCACAAAACCCATTTTTCAGATGGGAAAGCAATTCTGATAAGAAAAAAAAACAAGCCCATGAAGAGCTATACTATAAAACAGGATTGGGCAAAATGTGGCCTGTGGGCTGAATGCAGCCTGCCAGGTCATTCTATCTGGCTCATGGGGCCCCTAAAAAAAAAGTTAGAAATTTAATATTTATCTGCCCCTGGCTGCCTGTCATGTGGCCCTCGACAGCTTGCGAAAACTCAGCAAGCAGCCCTCCGCCCAAAATAATTGCCCGCCTCTGGTATAAAGGTTTGCAGCCTTTGAGACTTTAGGACCAATAAGTCAAGTCTTGTCAGCCCTAAGTGTTGGGAACACGCCACAGTGGCTCCCTCTGGCCTGGCTGAAAGTGTATAATAGTCAGGGGTGGCCAACCTGCAGCACACCTGCCACAAGTGGCATGGGCAGCCCACCTATGTGGCATACAGCAGATTCAAGAGGGAGCAGGGAAAAGAGCAGCAGATAGGACAGAGCAGAGCAGGCAGGAAGCACAACAGTAGATCTGGTAGGGGAAGGGGGCTGGGGTGGCACTTAGGGAAGATGTGGGGCTTAGCTTGCGACTTGCCTACCAAAAAGAGGTTGCCTCCCACTGCTGTAGAGCAAATATGCCCCTGAATGGCTAGTAGCAACTATGGGAGGAGCTGCCTACACAGACGGGCTCTTCCCCTTCTCCTCTACACGCAGTGCAGTCTCCTCCATTACCCCCATGTAGCCACCTCAGCTGTTGTAAGAAAGTACAAAGACCAAAAACAGACCAGGCACTCTCAAGATAGTAGGAATGAGACATATTTATTATGTCCACCTCAACATGTAAATGAATTTCAACTCTCCGTACTCTACGAATTCTAGCTCAGCTCACTCGCTTGCCCATGTCCCACCAGACAGATCAAAACTAAAACAAAAAACCTGCTGGCTTTACTTTTTTTTAAAGCATAGGGTGAAGAAATGGGGTGAGAAAGGCCTCCAGTTTATCCAGATAGCCAGAGGCAACAATGCAAATAGGACATGAGAAAAAAGAAAAGAAAGATGTGAAGACTGTAGAGTATCTATATAATGCAGCATCCTGTTGGAGGCAGAGGGGAGGGAATAACTTTAAAGCTTGCACAAATCTGTAAAACCTTAGATCTGTGTGTAAGACCCAGTGTGCCTGGGATAAAGTAAAATCCACAGAAAAAAGGATATGAAAAAAACCCAACATTTTTAAAAAAGTATAAATTTCTTTTTTTTAGTTAATTTTAAGAGGCTCCACATCCTTTTCTTCCTATCACTCAGGAAAGTCTTCCTGAGCATCTCCTTAGCACTGGGCTTTTCAACCTAGTGGAACAGCTTTTCTTCTAATGGAGACAGACATCTCGACTCCAAGCCAGCCAGGGAAAAAAAATGCTGCTAGAGAATGTGTCGTAACGGATTTGGATTTAAAATTAAAAAGCAGAAACTGGTTGAGGAAGAAAAGGGAATGGAGCTTTTTAAGTAGGGCCAAGGTCCACTGTGCCAGCTAGCAGGACACCCTTGGCCAATGCCCCTCAGCCCTGTAGCCCCTCCTCCCAGTAACAGAGATACAACAGTGCCCAGAAGACTGAAGTCAGGATAAAAATGCCAAGGCCCAGCACACTCACTCCTCTCAACCCCGAAAGGCTCCAAGAGGGCTCTAAGCCTCTTCCTATGTATACTGTGAGGGGCAAATATTCAGACTGGCTTTAAAAACTGCAGGTAACTTGTCCACATCAGCTCCATGCGGCCCTTTGGCAAAAACTTCTCATCTCAGAGGAAGCCAAGTGGTTGTAGTTCAGTCTTAGTCTACAACTAAAGAGATCTGAGGTCACTGCTGCAGAGCAGTGGGTCACACGAAGATAGGAGGAGAGAGGGCGGAAAGTGAAGACTGAAGGCTAAGGTTCCTTCTCAGAGGAACAAAGTCCAAATATGAGGGGTGGCTCGCTCTGCAATTCAGAGCGTCACAGGACTCATCTTGGTCCCGTTGGCGGTGGGATCAGAAAGAACAGCCTTTCGGCACGCTGACAGTGATGGGTTGTTGAGGAGGGTGTAAGCCAGCCACCATCGGGCTCGGGTCTGCTTGGATTGGGACTGCCTTGGCGTCACCTTCTTGGTGTGTATCAGCTGGATCCCTGCAGAGAAGGAGCACAAAAACCATCAATCAGCTCCCTCCTCCCATGCGTCTCTGGGAGTGGAGGGGTACTCATCTCCTGCACCTTTGGGTATGGAGGGGGGAAAAGCAATGCTCCTGACACCACACTGGGAGAGGACAGGAGGAATCTGTAGTCTGGCAGGGCAGAACCAGGAAAGACTCGGCAGTTATCCTCCCCAGGCTTGGCAGGTACTTCATGCCAGGGAGGCAAAGAGCAAGAGCTCAGTATGGTGCAGAAAGTGTATGTGTACACCTTGGTGGGAGGTGCGACTGCCCACAGCCTATTGACTTCTCCATGCTCCCTTTGCTCACCACACCGACAGCTTCTTTGGCGAAAGAATGGGACCAGCCCCGGCCCTCCAAGGAGGACAGGCAAAGCATGAACCTGGTAGTGATGGGAGGGGGAAGGGGGGGGGGGAAAACATGAAAGGACAAGCCCATGAATAAGAGATGGGAAGATTCCCCACTGGCTTCTTGCAATGCCAGCATGCATGATGGAGACAGACTAGCAAACATACTCCAAAGCTGTTGCTCCCTCCCACTCCCATCACAAGGAAATCGCACTTCGCTCAGCTGGCTAGCTGTTTCTTAGCATTCAGGCAATAGCTGGGGGAGGGTGAAGATCTCACCTTCTTCCACATCAGTTGGTTCAATTCTAGTCTGCCCTTTGGGGCTGCGTAATTGGAGGAGTAGGAAGCAAAAGGCTTTCATCACCGGGTGCGATTGGCTGACCTCAATTTTCAAGTAATGACAGTAAGTGCGGTAGCCTAGAGGGAAACAGTCCACACATAAGAGCATGCAGAGAAGCTTATGCATACATGTGTGCGCATGCTCACGCGCACACACAGCATGGAGTGCTCAGTTTTCAGTTTTTTTCTTATGTAGGAGGGGAGAAAAATTAAATTGCTGGGGGAGGTGGGAGGTCACAGAGACCTAATTCAGTCATAGCTACCAGTCTGGATTTACAGTGGTAGCAACTCTATCAAAGCTAGTAGGGCCTTTTTGGATTCACACCAGTGGGATCAGAGAATAGCAACTCATGAGCTTCATACCCTGATCCCCAGCAGAAAAAAGGAAGTAGAGGATTAAGATTTGTTCTCAGCAGGTTTAATACACATTGAAGGTAGAAACATACCGCGACACAGAATGGAGCACACAGAGATTGGGACCAAAAGGGCACCCACCCATGCACACGCATTCAGTCCAGTATGTAGCAAGTGCCAAATCGCCAAGAGGGCCAGGATCATTACCTCCCTGCTACCCTCTCCTCATACAGGGAACATTCCCTGGACAGGCTTGACTGCAGCAAGCTGAAAACCCTGTCCCTTTCCACAATGGTACTCAGATTTTGCCACTGTACACCAGCCAGGGAGAAGAATTCATGCCAAGATAACAGCATCCAAGTGCTACTTAGCCTCACTAAGAAGGGAGAGGGGAACCCATAGGGTTCAAAGAGATGAATATCTTCAATAGTAGATAGTTCTGCAGTTGTGCCTGGGAACTCAAACTATACCCGGCTGTACCCCAGGCACAGCTCCCATGAGACCACCCCCACCCTTGCTTTTTAGAAAATGGCCAACTGGCCACCCAAGTTACTTCATTTCCATATTCTCCATCCTACACCTATTCCCTGAGATGCACAGGGTCATCAGATTAGTTTTAGGTGTTTACATCCTGTGCATAATCCAAGAGGCCACCTTGTAACTAGCCAAATTAGCCCCATGAGCCACAATCCCTGTGGGTACCCACTGGCTTTGCAGAACTGGAATTAGGAGGAGCTCCTCCCATGGAAGGCAATGGAGATCTGTGGAGGGAGCACTGTGCCTTGGCTCCTCAGCAGTGACTGCCTGGTTCAGGGACATCAACTTGTCCCCCTTACCAGGATCAAAGACTTCAATGGCCCGGTTCAGTAGGCTGATGTCCAGCTGGCAGAAGTGGATGGCGTTGTAAAGCACTGAAATGACCATTCTCCAAATTCCAGCCATGATTCCTGCCAGGACATTGATTGGGAAGAGCAGGTAGGTCAAGATGTAGAGGGCTCGCCTGGGGGCATAAAGCACAGGTGGAAATAAGTTATTTAGATTGGATATCAGGAATATATTCTTTATGGTGAGGGTTGCCAAAATATGGAATGGGCTTCCAAGGGAGGTGGCACTTTCCTCTACCTTAAAAGGTGTTCAAGAAGAGATTAGAGAGGCACCTAGCTGGGGTTTAACCCCAGCGCTCTTTTCTACCTAGAGCAGGGGGTCGGATTCGATCTACAAGGTCCCTTCTGACCCTAGAAATCTATTAAATCTATGGGGCTCCTGAGGCCAAGGGACCCAACCCAATCCAGCATCATGCCACTTGATCCAGAGAGCAATACCAAGTGTTAGTCCATGACAGGAGCCCCCTGCTCTTCTTCAATATTTCAGGCAGCCAGATGGCTGGGGTAGGCTACAGTGGGAGTTTCTGCAGCTTCTTTTGCCCTCCAATGACTTTGCAGATCTGCCCACTAGGGGACTAAATAAGCCAGCAACATCTCATGTGCCTTCCAAGATACTAGGAGTTGGCTTCCTGGCAACTACTCCAGGTTGCAGATTAGCCTTACTACAAAAGTAACTGGAAGAAATCCCCTCTGTACTGTCTTAAGCAACAGTCAGTCACTGGTCAAAATTGTCCTTTCTGGCCTTAAGATCTAGGAAATATAAGAGCTCTCTAATGGTTCCTTTAAAACCAGACCCAGCAAGGCCTCATGATTCTCCCACAACTCTCCCACAAGCCTGGAGATATGGCATTCTACCACAGCTCTACCACTAGCTTGGTTTCAATCTCCCCATGTTGGTAATGAAAAGAAAAAAAACTGTGGTAAAGCTTGGCCAAGCATTGTATGGGTGAGGTTAAATGACTGGAAGTCTGGGATGGGTATGGCAAACCTAATGGGTTCACAAGGCCAGGAGAGCTCGCATGAATCTGCTAGTAAATGCAGGATGAATTAAGGTTCCAGAAAAAACTGCAAGTTCACATGTTTGCTTTTGGACAATTGTCAGAAAGAGAGGACAAGAGGTGCTCAGCATTCAACTATGCTCAAAGCTACAGCTGGGACTTCAGAGCTCTGTACCAACCATAAATCAACTAGTCTTATGACTGCTGGAGAACCAGAAACAAGGCAGCAGAGCATGTTCACAGATGAGGTCCTCTCACCTGTTGGTCAGCTCCTTCTGCAGGTGGCATTTTTCAAGGAAGCAAAAGTGAGCAGCCAGGTTCTGCACAATGACAGCAACCACCAGCATCAGACAGAAGGGCCTGGAAGAACACAAGAACAAACTGGGGAGAGGGCAGATTTTATTCAGCATGTTCCTTATGTCAGTCCCTTAAAGAGCAGATGGCCTGGATGCTTGAAGCCAGATTGTGACGTGGCCTGAAGATGCCTGGGGTTCAGGGGAGATGAAAGGAATCATTCCTACTGTAACCTGTAGAGAGACCTACTACTGTGGATGGTAGTGCTCAATACACCCTTTTAATGGGGCAAAGACTGGCTTTGCCTTTCTGCTCCCCCGCCCCCAAGAGAACATCTGCACCACCCTCTTACCCAGAACTTTGTTTTCATAGAGATTTCAGGCCAGTTCACTTGCTTGAGTATTATTCTGTAGTACTTCCCCATTTGGAGGAGTATGGATCAGTGTTAAGAGAGCTCCCAAAATCATGTTCTGGGAGGGCTGCCACCCAATCAACTTCCACAGAAGGGGCTCAGCTTAGTTGGAAGGAGAAGATGAACATATAGAAATATCATCAGGTCAATGCAGACAGTGATGGGCCCCAAGCCAAGCATCCTTGAAACTCCAAGGAGATTCTGATCTGGACCACAGGTGTGCAGCTTAGGCCCGTTTCTCAATGCAACAAACACTTGTTTGGTTCTGGGAAACTCAGGCAAGACACAAGCACATACAGAGTGGAGGTAGAAGCATGCCTGTGGCAGCCTTCTTGAACAGGCATCAAGGCTTGGCTCCCAGAGACCACACTACCCATCACTCCCCTAGTCACTGTGTGGCACTGTGGGTGTTTAGCATCACTGGACACAAAACTAGGTTCTGAGCAAAGAGACCCCCAAGCAGGGGAATCACGACTGGAACAGGAATCTCTCTTTTCACTTTGGGTCTGTGCCAGCAGCTAGATCAGGGGTGGGCAAAAAAATGGCCTGTAGCCTATGTCTGGGCCACCAAGGGATTCTGGCCAGCCTGTGGCAGGTCCCTTGGTCCCATCCAGTACAGGCACAGGGGGATCCAAGGCCACGGTGCATGCAGCTGGCCCCACCACCCCCGGATATGCAACGGGACTTGGGCAGAGTGGCAGCTAGACTCCATTTCCCAGCAGCACCAGTGACAGTAGCTCCTTCCAGTGCTGCAGCTGCTGGACCCAGCCCCACTCTCCCCAGACATCCTGTCCCCTCCACCCCACACTCACCACTGGGGGGGGGGGG